ATTCCACACTGTTTAGACCAAAAGTTCTTTGTATTTTCATGGAGTTATCCTGCTAATCAATTGGGCTGTGTGAGTAAATCTTGTTTGTTGTTTTATGAATTTTATTGGGGTAAGACAAACAAGTGTGACAGATATACTATCGCTTCTTAATGAGCAAGGAGTGATTCCTGCCACCACCGTCAGGCTGTATCTTCTCATTTCAGCTCTCAGAAGAAGTGTCTATCTGAAATAAGCTGCAACTAACTCAGTTTGCTCTTTTTCTAAATGCAAAATGAACCACATTCTAACCAAGAAGTAATTGTGTCATGCTGGGATGTTACATATTTTCTGGATCTGTTCAAATATTAGGGAAAACAGCCTGCGTTGTGGCTGTAAGGTTTTGTACTACGCATACGATCAAAGTATTCTCTATATCCAAATATAGAATATCCAAAAGTGGGAGAACCATCATAGATCATTATACAAAAAGTAATATAAAAACCTGGAAGATTGGAAGATTGCAGATATGATTTAGAGATATGAGGGCAGAACAAGACAAATAACGTGATAAGCTCTTTTTCAAGTGATTTTTTAACGTGATTTTTTTTTTGCAAGGGATGACGCAGGCTTGAAATCACTTTTGGCTGGAGACTTCGATGCTGTTTCTCTCCAAAATGTGTGGGATGTAGGCTTTTATTTATCTATTAAATACATTACATAAATTATGTAGGGTAGTGGTTTAAAAACCCAAACCAGCAAATTTACACCTAAAACAAGCCTGAAAAATTTTCTCAGAGATAATCACAGTTTTGTAAAACTTGGAGCATTTAGCTACAGAGCATTTATTTTTGTTTTAGAATATCTCTGTTTGTGAGTGCAAGAAAAGCCAATGCATTACCCCTCATAATTTTGAAGGATCCTTTGCAGCCTCTGGGTTTGGTAAGCTGAATGCAGGGTCTGGAAACTCACCTTCAACATGTTTTAAAATCCTGTTTTTAAAGTACCATTTAGCATTTAGAGTAGGAAGGTAGAAGTACTAGGGAGGATCACGTCCTCGGGCGAGTCCAGTCTCACCAACCCTCAGTCTCAATTCCAGGCTACTCCAGCAAGGAGTAATCTTGCTGCCAGCAACAGAGCCCTGCTGCTGGGGAGGGCAGCAGATGAGCTATACAGGCTTTCTTCTTTTGGCAGCCTTGCGGTGCAAGACCAAAGGCCCCAATGTTTGACAAACTCCAGTGTCCCAGAAGGTAGAGAGAGATAGAGGGCAGAGAAATCTGTTGCTGGTTTCATCATGAAACTTTCTGCTTGAAATCTGAGCATAACACTTTCTCGTGCTTTGGAGTCAGTATTATTCCTTTATCTGCTGCCAAGTGGGGACAGAAAATAGAAGCTGTGCCTTGCTTCCCTTGAAACCCTTCATTTAAGCAGAGACAGAGGCATAACTGAATGTCATCTGTCTATTTGAGGATACATGAACTTCTAGCATCATTCAGCTTCTCTATGTGATACTGTCTTGGAGTTAAAAAGGCAGGGAGAAAGCATTGAGGTTTGTGGGACTGCAGAATACAGGACTTCTGGGGCTGTGCAGGAGAATGAGAGGGAGTTGCACTCCATTCAGCTTGTCTGGGTAAAGGACTGCTGTCCTGTTCTTTCTTATTAAACTTCACATGAGTCTTATTATTAGAATGAGGCAGTCACTTCTGTCAGAGCCCCAGAGGATATCCACTCTGAGGTTTTTTTTCGGTCCCAGGCCAGGAGCACGCGGACTGGCAGTGCCAGGAGGGTTTGTTCTTCTATCATGTTTTGGTCTGGTGCCTGTATGTCAAGGAGCCAGGGCATTGGCAAGGAATAGGTGCTGTTAGCTTTTGGATGCCACTACCTTCACAAAGACATTGCCAAGGAAGAGGAGGTTGGAAACTGAGTGGTAGTTGGCGAGGCTGCTGGTGTTAAAAGTGGCTTTTTCTAGGTTTGGCTAGACTGTTGCATTCTTTAGGGTGTCTGGTAATTTGCTGTCTTAACCATGGAGGGAGGGTAATGTCACTTGCCAAACAAAAGAACATTAAGAGCACTTGCTGGAATTCTTTACAACACGTTCCTGAATACACTGAATACTTTGATAGCATAATACAGTATTACGATGGTGTAGCTTGTGGTGAAAATGGTATGTAGCTTTTGTAGCAAGATCCAGGGATATCCTCCTCTAAGTTCTTTTTTTCAATAACTTTCATCTGGTATATTTCTAAAGAATGAAACTTGCTTTTCTGAGAGCTGGGTTGTAAAGGTCATTTCTTCGCAGGGATTGTTAAGTAGGTTCCAGACAGATAGATGAGCTGAACTAAACTGAACTGAGAGAGGAGAAGAGTTTGAACACTGCTCTTGCCCCTATCAGTCATTAAGTTTAAGTATGCTAGCACGGTGCTAACTATTAAAAGTTTACATGGTTTCAAAGAGAGAATGGACATGTTCATGGATCCATTGAGGGTGACTAAACAGATAGAGGCACACCTGGATTAATAAGTTTTAAAACTGAAAAATATTTGGAGCCTTGGACACTATCAGTCAAAAAAAAAAAAAAAAGCCAAATACTTTAGGCCTGCCCCATTTCTTACTATTGTACTGGGCATCGTGCTCAGGGCTACTGCTGAAGGCAGGCTGTTGAAGGAGACCTAGTGTGGCAGTTTCAGTGTAATGCTGTATTATTTGCTCCCTGAAAGTCCCATAGGTCTTTTATAGAGCTTAAAAAAATCTAAAAAATGAGCCTTCCTTAACATATGTGTGCCAAAATACCTGCAAAGGTGTGGGAGGATATGTATTGAAGACAGAGGGAGTGATCTTTCAGTAAGTTCATCTGTTAGGCATAAGAAAATTATGAGGGTGAGTAAAAAGAGAAAAACATCTAGAACTACTAGTAAGATAATGATATTGACACCAACCATAATAATTTGGTCTCCAGTGATACAATCTTTATTAGCCAGTTCTTCTGGTAGAGGATTTTCTGGGTTTTGTTCTGTTTTATTTTTCTTTTCCTTACTTACTGCCTGATAGCCACAACTGTGAAATTAATAAGGTTACTTGCCACCTGCCATTGGTGTGAGGCTGCCGCTGGGCAGACTTGATTTATTTATATACCAGCGTTAACACTGCTGTGTCCAGTTGTTGCCATGTTGCTCAAATCTTTAAACACAGCCTTTATAACCTGCTAAAATAAGAGAAGAAATAGCAATACTGATAGAGTAAAATGTTATCTTGATATGACAATAAGATAGGATAGACAGTTGAATACAATTTGAGGAATCAAGAGAACTGAAAACCTGAGGGAGTGGATACCAGTTCCTACCGGTGCTTCATGTCCTTCAGCTTTTGTCTTCTCGATAGAGCTGGGAGCAGAATAGTCTCTTCTTGTACAGGCTCCTTCAAGGTTTCAGAGCTATTCTTGTCCAGCATTGGGGAATACAAGAGATAACTTTTCAGAAGGTGCAAAGGAAACCTAACCATCCTGACACAGACAATTACGAACCTCATTGGCAAGAGAAGACAAGTGTCTTCAGATTTTTGCTTTTATCCAAGCAGTTGAGTTCAGAGGTTATTAGAGCTATGTTTCCTAGCAAGTGGGACCTGCTAGGTTTTTTTGTTCCTGATAGGATTCACTCCACTTTAGCTGGTCCAAGGAATATTTTCATATAAATTTTGCAGACTCTATAATGTCAGTCAGGACTGTATGAGGAATGCAGATGACTCAGGTTTGAGCCTGTGTGCCGATGAATATTACATTATTTATGTGGGGTGACACACTTTTAGACAGAGAGATTGAGAAACGGTCTCTCCGCCCATCATTCCTCCCCACTGTTTCCCTTCTTCTTTCCTCCACAGTAACCCATGATATGTTGTCAGGGAATTCATCTAGTGATAAGATCCTTAATCTGAATGAGGCGTAGGTATGTAAATCCCCAGCCCCAGCCTCACTGCTCTGGAATTGGTTTTCCCCTTCTATTTTCACCAGAAATTTTATTCTGGGAACAATTTCCAAAGAAGACCTGAGTGAAATCACCATCTATTAAATTTTTTTTTATTTTTTTAATTAAAGAAGGTGTTGCCAAAAAGCTTGCAACCAGCCTCACCTATCTCTCAATATGCAAATCTCTCTTGCAGCTGTAGAGCCCCAAAGGCTTTTTTGTGCTTTCATATGGGCTAGCAGCCATAGGGAGAACATTCTTTTTGGATCAAGCCCTAAGAAATATGTAATAAATTTGCCTATATATGACTTTTTAAAATAGAGGTATTTCAGTTTTAAGTTTTAGAATGTATAGTTTCAGAAATAACCTCTGAAGAGTAACATGGTCTTGACCTTTGCTCTCTTTTGGAAATGCAATAAGAAAATGTCTTTGAGTTTTGAATG